CCGATTTTTGAATTAATTTCGTGTGAATCCATTAGACCGCTAAACGCATGCCGGGATTTATTTTAAAATTTATGTAAAAGTGACAAAAATTTGCTGTTCGAATACATATCATTTGCAGTCTAGTGCTGAACTAGGTTCTTCTGATATAGAGACTATATCTTCATTCCCGAGAATCTATAATTGTTGTCAGGAAATATGTTGTTTTATATATTTTTTTGAAACGGTTGTATTTTTCCAAATTCTTACCGACATTTTGATCTGCAGTAAGTATTTTACACTTTGACATTAGAATTAGATAATACTAATTTCATTCTCGACTTAAGACTATTTCCGAACAAAAGTGTATTGTTTTATTAGGAGTAAAAATTATACTTTTTTTGATGATGCTGTACCTTTGAAGGACCATCATAAAGCTATTCCGATTTTACAAGGAAGAACAAAAAGTACATTTTTACTCCTAATAGAACATACATACTATTTTTTTAAAACATTACAAATAATTTTTTAATTAATTTCAAACATTGCAAATAATATAAACAGTAATCGAGCAACAATTTGTACACTCGTTGAATTTGACACTTAATATCAGTTTAATAATATAGTTTTGTACTTTTGTGCTTAGGCGTAACAGTGCTTTACTTTTATACCTAGGCGTTAAAATGACAAAAATGAATACTTCTGAGACGTTTGAAAGAAAAATCCTTTTGATCTGAAGCGAGCGATTTTTTTGCGAAATATACTGGTGACCGATGTGGAAAAATGACAAACGCACCCTAGAATTATTAATGTTATCGATATCGGGCAGAGTTATAAATATTTAGCCATTCAGGATAGGACTTTAATTGGAAATAAGTCCTAGTCATTTGGAAATCCGATTTAAATATTATTATTTTTGATTCATTAAAATCAAAAAAAACTGATTTAAATCAAATAAATCTGATTTTTTTGATTTTTTTTTAAATCATGATTTTTTCCAACCCTGCTTTGTAACTACCTAATTTGGTTGCTTCAGGAATGGTTCGACTGGAAATTTAAATACTGCCTCGTATGTTTGGATTTTCTACATACAGACGTTCTAATTAATCCATTGTTTCTACCTACAGTACCTATAAGAACATCCAGAAACAGTAGGCAGAAGTTTTTCTATTTTTCAATCATAAGTCTGATGGAGATACTTTGGGAATTGTGGTGATTCAGAAAGAAATCCATCTGTCTAATGGTTCAATTCCAGATTATGAAGATATCGTCAACATATCGCAGCCAGATTTTGGGTTTGATGAGTGCCGTACTAGTGGCATCAAATATCAGAGTAAATGATAAGGATAAAGGTGCAAATATATTGTATGGCCTATCTATAATATGAATCTCCATTTTTACAAGAACTTTTAGATAGACTTATTTATTACAGTTGGGAGTTGGAACCTTTGGTGTTGCACAGCAAAATAAAACACTAAATCACCACAATACACCAAAACACTTTTACCTTTACACTGGACGCGCGTTTCGCTAACCATTGTTAGTAATGATGCAGTCATTCAGTTTTAATCATCTGCTGATGATCATCTGCTAACTCAGTTTTAATCATCTGCTGATGATGCTAACATGGTTAGCAAAACGCGCGTCCAGTGTAAAAAGTAAAAGTGTTTTATTTTGCTAGACTTATTTAGCTGACTTTCAAACAGTAAATAAATTGTGCTGATTTAGATGCTACTACTCTCGTATATGGATATACAATGATAATTGAAATTGTAGTTCGATTATTGTTCATATACCGTATGATCGAAAAAAAATGGCGTCCAGTTGGCTTGGAAATGACGATCGATGACATTTCCCATATAATTTTACATATAAAATGACAGCGATCTTCATTTCATATCCATCGTTGACGCCGTTTTTATTCGATCATACGGTATTATACACATACAGGGTGGCCCATCGAAAACGTTCCGCAAGGCATAACGGCCAGGGTAATTTTTTTTTCTTAAAATTTAAAAACACGTCAATTTTGTTTGTGAGGGGGGCAAATTTTGCCCCAAAAATGATTGAAAAATCTTCAACCCTCTAAGCGGGGGTATCATCCCCCAATTTTTTTCAGATGGGAAGGGGGTCAAGTGGTACCGCAATGAAAAGGGCTGTCTATTCTCTATACTTTCCCGCTTTGTTTTTGAAAATCGGTCGAGTCATTGAGAAAATATGAAGGATTGAAATTTGAAAAGCTTATTTAAACATTTATCAGAGTAAATGATAAGGATAAATTCCTTCGACCAATTTGCTGTTTTTTCTTATTATTTCTAGATGTTTACGCATTTTTTCACTTGCCACAAGGTTGAACAATCAGGTTAGGTAGAGTGTACTTTCTTTTTGAACGGTGTAGTTAATCGGCACAACTGTCGGTACTGGGCTGAGGGCAACCCCAGGGTTTTTCACGAGGTGCATACACAAAAGCCTCAGAAATTGAAAGTGTGGGCTGGTATTTTTAGAAATTCTATTGTGAGTCCTTTTTTTCTTCCTGGAAATCTAACAGGTGATATTTACTTGGATTTACTGGAAAATACCATCGACCCAGCCCTAACTGACATCATAGAGAACAATCCTGGAAACGTTGAAGGGGAACTAAGACAAGACGGTGCACCTCCACATTACACTCAAAATGTGCGTAATTATTTAAACAATAACTTTCCCGTTCGGTGGATAAGACGAAGGGGTGCAATTGAGTGGCCTCCCCGTTTACCCGACTTGACTCCTTTAGACTTTTTTCTATGGGGACACATAAAAAGTAAAGTGTATAGCACTCCACCCGCCTCATTAGAAGACCTGCGAAGACGAATTATTGATGTTTGTCGCGAAGTGACCCCGCAAGTTTTTCAGAATGTTCTAGAACGAATTGAAAATAATTTGTTTTACTGTATGGAGGTTGACGGGCAACATTTTCAGCATTTGCTTCATTAATAAGATAAGTTTTTTTTAATTAATTCAATTTATGCGTTTTTTGCAAAAAGTACTTTTCAAATTTCAATCTTTCATATTTTCAAAATGACTCGACCGATTTTTAAAAACGAAGTGGGGAAATATAGAGAATAGAGAGTCCTTTTCATTGAGACGCCACTTGACCCTCCTTCCCATTTGAAAAAAGTTGGGGGATGACACCCCCGCTTAGAGGGTTGAATATTTTGCAATCATTTTTGGGGCAAAAGTTGTCCACCTCACAAACAAAATTGACGTGTTTTTGTTTTTTTTTGAAAAAAAAAAATACCCTGGCTGTTATGCCTTGCGGAACGTTTTCGATGGGCCACCTTGTAATATAGTCGTAAAACTATGCAGATTGACGAGGAGAAAAGCCAACCCCGTTTCATTTTCTCCTTTACTGACCGCTTTATTGTTTGACTATTAGCATTATGGGTCGTTTTCGTTACCTATAGTAAAACATCTCGGTCATTGAGCAGGATCTCGTGCCCAATTATTCTCGCGGATATTTGCGAACAAAAGTGAGCACCACCGCTGCAAATTTCGATGGAAACCGAACAAAACGATTTTTGCAAAACTCGCATGCAACATGCAATTGCATTGTTAATTACCCACGGTATTTAACTGGGGTTTAATGAAAAAAATCTCCATTTTCTTTATAGTGTGATCGGAGAAAGGAAAGAGATGCGGGTGTTTGAGTTTGTGGTGTTGGTTAGTGTTTTCGTTTGTAGTGGTTGTTTCGCTGACGATTATAATGTAGTTAAGACTATTGGAGGTATTTTAAAAGAGTGCACAGGGGTAAACAAAAGGTTGGTGTTGATTATACTCGGTGGTAATGAATATAAGTGCGAAAAAATTGTGCCGTATTTAAGGTGTTTTATGACAATAATTGGGAAACTTTGGCAGTTACAACATCAAAATAAACACTAATTCACCTCAAAATAGTCTTTTACAACAAGTGTTTTGGTCGAAACGATCGAAAAAAAAACGGCGTCAAAGATGGCTGGGGAATGACAATCGATAATAATTTTGGCGCGGGCAAGCCCTAGATGTCATTACTTGTCCTGTACTCTTCTTTAGATTTTAATGGCGCCTACAGCTAGTTGGCCTTATGAAGGTTGACATTTATTTCTATATTGAGAATGAAGTACTTTTAAATGTTGTAGATTAAAATTAAAGAAAAAATAGAAAATCTCGGGAAAATATTTTTTTTTGTAAATAGATTATGTCTCTGGAAACGTTCTATCCTACTTTGAACTTTCTATAATTAGGGTTCATTTTTGACAAGTTTTGTGTCAACTGGCGTCCAGCGATTGACCCCACCAAAATTATCTGATTCTCGCATCAACAAAATCATTTCTGATGAAAGCTTGACACGTGAGTTGTATTATTGCATTTATTATTTTTAGTGCCAGTTGCGTATCTGACAGAATTACAAAATCAGTGGAGAGATCTTTAGATTGGAATGTTACAGTTATCGATGGAGTCACATTTGCAAGAAATAAAGAAAAAATACCTCGTCAGCCAAGAAATTTAAGAGGTAGATAATTATTATTTATCCACCACCCAAAAATATAAAATATACAGTTATTTTGTATTACTTTTGATGTTCATCCAAAGTGAATCAGAGTGAAATCATCCAGGGTAATAATTTTTGTTGAAACGTTCGACTGGCAATTGTGAAGAAAACTAAAAAATAAAGAAGGAAATTTTCATTGAGCTTTCACCCTGGATAAATCATCTATCGGAGACTGCTCTTTCATCAAACCTTGGTCTGGAGTATAACTATTTAATCCTTCATCTTTAGGCCGGACGCACACCGAACGAGCAAAACTGTTTTAGTAAAAAAAGTTTTTATCTTTTATAAAAACATTATGTTTCGAAGATAAGCAACATATTTTATTTACAATCAAATATGCACGGCAGCAGATACAGAACAGGTCGCAAATAAAAATGTTTTAACAAAGAATCAAGTTAATTGTATTGACGCCATGCTACGCCGCTGCATTTACTACTACATATATTACACTTATTACTTTGGAAGATTTCTCTAGGATGGTCATTAAAAGTGACACATGTAGTATAAATTATATTTCTAAGTAGAATTCTATTTAATTCTTTAGAATCTCCGTATAAATTATCATTTCACTTTTGCTTTGTTTGCCCAAATTTAGGTGTAGACCGTCTGAAAGAAGCAATAACCAATTTTTTTACAACCCACACTGTGTCTGTTGAATTAGAAACCTTTACTGGACGAGTTTTGGGTAAAGATGGTGATGGAGGTGGTGGATTCATGAACAAAAAACAGATGAAGAAGGAGAAGAAATATATCAATTATACTTTTATGGTGCTTCTAGGTAAGAAGTTTTATATAAATAGTCTTACTTTTTCTCAATATTTGTAATTTTATTTGTTAAATCAAGTGAATTATAGTCTCTACATCAAAGGGTTAAATCAGAATGACAGTTGCCTGTCATTTTAATTGAATAGTAGATTATATTTATTCTGATATTTTTGTTAACGTCTTCTGTTGAAAAGATTATGTTCATTTTTGGACGTTAGTGCTTTTAATATTTCGAATGAGATATATAAAATGTACAGGGGTCCGGCAATAGTGCGTCAGGCATTTGTAGCTCCTAGAATACAAAACTTGAGTTTTTTGTTTAAGTGCAAACCTAAAGTATGTACCAGGATGTATTTCAGGAAAATATTTTAACTTCTATAGGGTGGCTCAAAAAAGTGTGAGTGGACCTGGATAATCTTTTTTAAATGGAACATCCTGTACATAATTGCATTTTTGGCTTCCTTTCAGATCACTTTACATAACCCTAAGATATGAATAAATATATTTCGATAGTTTCAGAGATATTAAAAAATAAATAAAAAATATGTATTTTTCAGCCCTTCTTAAAAAAATTATTAAAAATACAAGAACTGTTCTGAAATCAAAACTATATTAGGTATTTACTTTAGATAGTCTGTTCTTACTTTGTTATAAATATGGTAATCGTATATCATACAGGATGTTCATTATTCTACGCCAAACTTTCTAAAATATAAAATAATTTTTCTTTGTTATTTTAAATGGAACACCCTGTATATTATTTTTTTATTAGATGGAGAGTTAAAAAATGAACATTTTTTGTATTTAGAGTATTTCAAAATTTTGAACGGTTTCGCAGATACGCGCAGTATTATTTCATATGGCGCTTTCAATGGTAAAATACGAGAGAAAAATCATTGGGTGGCTTCGATAAAAATTTACTGTGGAAAATGCCATATGAAATATAACACCGCAAATATCTGCGAAACCGTTAAAAAATTTGAAATACTCTAAATACAAAAAATATTCATTTTTTAATTCTCCGTCTACTAAAAAAATAATATACAGGGTGTTCCATTTAAAAAAACGAGAAAAAAATATTTTATATTTTAGAAAGTTTGGCGCAGAATTTTGAACATTCTGTATAATTTACGATTTTCATATTTATAGCAAAGTAAGTACAGACCATCTAAAGTAAATACCTAATATAGTTTTTATTTCAGGACAGTTCTTGTATTTTTAATAATTTTTTTAAGAAGGGCTGAAAAATACATATTTTTTATTTATTTTTTAATATCTCTGAAACTATCAAAATATATTTATTCATATCTTAGGGTTATGTAAAGTGATCTGAAAGGAAGCCAAAAATGCAATAATATACAGGGTATTCCATTTAAAAAAAGGTCCACTCACACTTTTTTGAGCCACCCTATAGAAGTTAAAATATTTTCTTAAAATACATCCTGGCACATACTTTAGGTTCGCACTTAAACAAAATTCTCAAGTTTTTTATTCTAGGAGCTACAGATGCCCGACGCACTATTGCCGGACCCTGTATATCTATTGGGTTAAGAAATAAACAAAATAACTTAGAATTCAATTCAATATAAGTAAAAGAGTAGTCCTAAAATCAGTTAAAGCTTTTTTAAAATGTTTGTATTTTTTATTTTTATTTCTTATTTCTATTAGGTATCTTTGGCCTTACTGCACCATTGGTTATGAAAGTATTGGGTCTTATAGCTGCCCAAGCTCTGATTTCCGCCAAGGCTGCCATGATAATAGTCGGTTCAATAGCGTTAAAGAAGATTTTCGAAAAAGATCATCAGGGTACTTCGGTTAAAGTACATAAAATCAGTGCTGGCCATGACGATGAGTACGACAGAATGGGTAAAAATGGATATTTAGTGTACAATAACAACCGATTTAATGATTATAGTCATTTGAATGGTGGTTATTCTACAAACGATGATTATTATGGGAATAATATTGGCAGTTCTAACGTGACATAGGAAATATAAGTTATTTATGATGTAGATTAGTTTATTTATTTGTAATATAATAATAAATTTTATTCAGTTTTTTGTTTTATTATTTCTAAATAATGTCTATACCTCTGTGGCGGATTCATCTCTTCAAAAAAGTCCTCTGGGTATTTCGCCACGTGGACTTTAGGAAAATAATAATAATAATTATTTAAATACTAAAATAGTTCAAAATATTAATTACTAAATAAGGTGCCATTTAACATTTTCTCTTATTCTACGCAACATAGGGAGAAAGCCTACAGATATCCAAATTGAAGGGAGGGGGATAAAACTGTACATAAAGGGTTTTATAAAGCGATATTTAGGGCATTCGATGATTGCGTCGAGTTAAAATTAAATTTGAACACGAGGAAATGTTAACTTTGTTTCGCGATTCGATGATTCCGTGTGCGGCCGCCCTTTGAACCCGATCATCTTTGTGCGAAATTATTTCGTAATTGATAAAATCAGGGGCAAATTGTATATTGCGTATGGGCGGATGGACCGCGTTGCATTCTTTGGCAAGTCCGAGTATCGGATGAAACGATTATGTTGGGCTGAAAACTCAGAGTAGCAAAAAAGATATAAATGTGAACCATTTTTGAATAACTGCTTTACTAAGATTCATTACAGGTACCTTATAGATGTATTGTGTCTCCCTTTCTTGAGTTATAACTCATCAGCAGTTTCAGGGCTTTAACAAAAGCCAGATTCTGAGACGGTTTTACAGAGATTAGTTATCTCCGATATTAGTCGTACCAAAGTTTATAGTACGAATGGTTGTCGTCTCGGCGCAGTCACTGATGAGGTGTTCTGGTGTTTCCCCGCAGAATCTGCATTTGCCCTTATTTCTTAGTTTCAAACTACTGAGGTGTTCGTTGAGGAGACGGTGTCCTGTTAAAATCCTCGTGACAATCCGAAGATTGTGTAAAGAATTGCTGCCAATGTTAAGGATCCTTCTGCTTCTTTTAATGTTGTTTTTTTTAATAATAATTTACACTTCTTCTTTATTAAATTTTTTATTTTAAGAAGAACTTTAACAATTACTTTAACAAACAACTTAGAGAGGTAAAACTAAAGAGCTTAATATTTTACAATAGGGACTTTCCACTAATAATAATTGAAAATAAGTCGTTTATGATTGAGTCTGGTCCGGCGGTTAATTGCTTTTAAGGGTAATGAATGTTTTTAGAAGCTCATTATAGTGGAAAAAAACTGGTTATAGATCGTCTTTTAGATGCACAACCAAATTTTAACAGTGGCGTAACTTAATACAGATAAAAACTTTTCTAAAACTAATATTATATAATCTAATTAATATAGGCAGGGATACAACAAATCTTATTTAAATCAAGGAAAATCTTTGATTTTTCTCGATCGTAAGTTCTGGGAAATTTCTTCTTAGACCGTTGGAGGATTCCCATTCCAGGTTACGGATGGAGTCTCCCAGGTTCTTGAGTTCTGTTTTAAGTTATTTTCCACTTTGTTAGACTTTTTGAAAAGGAGAGAACTGGAGAATGTAACCTAAGGATCAGAAGAGGACCACAATAGATCTGAAAAGGTTGCAGTGGAACAGGCCGATAGTACATCTCAAGAATCTAATATTTGATGATTGATTTTTTAATATTTTTATATGTTGAAACCAGCCTGGATATTTCGCCAATCTAAAAAATAAAAAAAATATTTTTTTGTAAAATACCACCGTGTGTAATCCAAATGGAAGTAGCTTGTCAGTGGCTTGTTACTTTTGACAAAAACGTTTAAGGTCACAGGACTTCCCAGGAGGTATATTTAAAAAAAATAAGTTGCATTCGACGCATTGACAATTTTGCGTCTCGTGCTTAAAATACATTCATTTTAAGCACGAGACTTCTTTTCGCAACGAATTTCATACAAGATTTTTTGTGAAAGCGGATAATTTGAGATTTTCATGCTATTATTATTTATTTTTAAACATTTTTTAAAATGTTCTGGTAATCGGTTTTTAAGACATTGTTTATGCATTGTTTAATGACAAAGTTCTGTCAGGTTCAAACGTCGCCGTATTTCTTACAAAGTTTTGTGAAAAAATGAGTGATAATGACGAGTCTTTAGATATTCAACAAGCTCCTGAAACCCCGCTATCCACGTTAGTGCCCGAGAAGTCGAAAAACTTATACGAGACCACGTTTTTTCAAATTTTTTTTGTTTCATTTTTTACTTTTAGGCACTAGTCTTTGGCACTAGTGTTTAAAGAAGTGTCACTTTTAGATACTAGTGCCTAAAAGAATGTCATTTCGAATCTCAAATAAATATCAAAAACTGTCAATTTCGAAACGCTTTTACAAAAAAAATATTTTTTTGATATCTTTATTATTTGACTATTTAAAAACTCCAATAAATGTCACTGTTTTATTGACACACTATTTTTCTTTATTATCAGAAACCACAGATACAAGAAAAACACTGCCGGCACGATCGCATTTTCGCTTTTTAATCCCGTCCCGGTTCGATAATTACCCACCTTAACGATCAGATGTTTCCGTTGTTATATCTTAGAAAAGGACACAGATTAGATAGATGTCCGGCCATAAGGGCAGATAATGGCCGAAATTGGATTATAGCGGGGACAAAGTACGGCCGTATCGGACGGCGGGCCACTATTTCTTTCGCCCACCCCGAACGGCACCTATGAGAAATCCGCAGTGGCGTGCACTAGATAAAAGAAAAAACACTCCACTTATTTTTCCAGGCATAAATATTTCACATTTATTAAAGTACCTACATCATTTTATTAAGGTGGAGGAAAGTCAGTCTGGCTGAAAATTTGCGGATGCAAAAATTTTACAGATTTTTGAAATCCGTAATCCTTATTTTTTCATGCTTGAAATTTAACGTATCATTTGATACTATCATAAACTATAATCAAAAGAAATTCTGGCTGATTTACGAAATTGACAAATTAGTCGGCGGTGGCGGTATCTTGAAAATTGCAAAAATTAAAAAATTCATGGCGACATATTCACCAGGGACGTGCATATGGGTTTTTAGTGGAATATTTTTTCTAAAAAAAGCATGTACATCACTGACTTTTTTTCCCTTGTTAGCGAAATGGTGTAAGCAGTTTAATGCCGGTTTTGTCAATTTGGGCCTCCTTGATGCGTTTATCTCATCAAGGAGGCCGAATTCGACAAAATAGCAAGAGATAACTTTTAATTGGCATTAAACGACCTACACAATTTTGATATCAAAAGAAAAAAGTCAGTGGCGCACATGTTCTTTTGTTGAAAAATATTCCAGTGATAACCCATATGCACGTCCCTGATGAATTTATCGACACTTTTATAGCATTAAAATATGTAGCACTTCTAGTAATTTTTACCCTCAAAATTTCATTTGAATCACTAAAACCACTTGGAAGAAAAGTATAATAAATCGAAAGATTATTAAGACTTTAACACCCTGTAGCTACGAAACAAAGCAGAATCGGACCTATATTGATTGATACGAAAAATAAATCTTATTTTTACATGAGGAATCTCTTCACAGGAGATGGCACATGTTTTTTGAAACACCCTGTATAACCGCTTAGTTCAATTCGCTGAATTATTGCTTGTTAGCGCCACTATGACCATGTAGTGAACCCTTATTCTTCCCATTTTTACTACTTTTTCAAATAAGAGATTTTCTTCTTACCTCTACCCTCCATAGTGATAACAAATCTGAGGATTTTTCTCCAATTTAAAGTAAAAAATAATCATATTCATGGGCGCCGGACAGGGGGGGCAAAAGGGGGCATTTGCCCCCCCCCCTGGATCACTGAAACAATAAAAATAAAAGCTATCTTCATACATGCATCTGTAAAAAAAAGTTCATCAAATCATTATTATGAAATTGTTAGGTGTTACCTGTAAAATAATAAAAAATGTGGTAATTATTGGGAAAACTGGAAATCGTCCGATTTTCACTAAAATTGGTATACACACTATTTTGAGGTCGTAGATTACGAATCTATTTTTTTCTTGGCGGTCTCTTACCGTTTTTCAGAAAAACGGAAAATTATTTCAACATTGAATTTTTTTTTATTTCGGCCTTATAAAGTAATAATTTCACTATATTTTCATTATATTATAGTTTATCTAAAAGCCACACTTGACTGGGGATAGAAAAGTGTCCAGCATTTTACTGAAAAACACTTTTCTTAACAAAATAGCAAAGAAAATTGAGACCAGATGGAAGTTTGACATTTGATATATCCTTCTTTCTCTCTCCTATGTAATAAGAGAGACAAATATATTCTAGACCTAATCTAGAAATTTGAAAATTTACAACGTTGCCATATCTTCTATTTTTTCGGGTGATTAGGGATTTTAAATAAATTACCTATTATGAGATCGACAATAATTAAATATACACCTATATCCACAAAATTACGCGGAAGAGTTTTGATTGCATTGGTTTTAACTTCTTTGCGGAGGGGGTTAATCTTTTTTTAGTTAATCTAATAATATAACAACAAAAGATTAACACCCTCTGCATGGAAGTTGTAACCAATGCAATCAAAACTCTTTCGTGCAACTTCGTGGGTATAAATAGTCAGATCTCGTTGGTAAAATAGCAGTTATGGGAAGGAGCCGTTCTTCTGGCGACCGCCTTTCGTAATTCCAGAATGAGCGAAAAAAACACGCTAAATTTAGGTTTAGCATTGGCAACGTTGCTTTAAATGCCAGAAACACATAAACTTACTTCGGGTTTCTCTTATTACCGATTCTGAACCGTCCTAGAACTGTGATGCGTATGCGCAGAAGGAAATATGAAAACATTATTTCATTTGCGCATGCGCTACAGAGTTCTGAATCGGTAATAACAAGAACCCGAACAAAGCTATAACCTAACATTTTCAGATTGTTTACAAATTTATTTTAGCAAATTTTCCTCTATTATGCATAGAATTGGTTAAAAAAGTAACAGAAAATAGCAAAAACATTATTGATTATTGAATACCTAACA